AATTATTAATTTTGTAAAAATTGCTATCTTCCATGCTTAATTAACAGGTTAAGTCTGCATACAAGCCAAGTGGCCCATCAGACCTGAGCTTATCCCGGTTTCTGTAGCATGAAGAGACTAGGAATATTCCTACTCCCCCTGGATGGGATGCTAGTCCATCGCAGAGTTACCCCCCACATTAAATTCGCCAGTACCCATTTGCACACCTGGGTGGAGAGAGGTACTGAGAGTAAAGTTTCTTACCCAAAAATACAACACAATGTCCCCAGCCAGGGCTTGAACCTGGACCAGGGTCGAGTGTACTAACCAAGGAGGCCCCTGTGCCTTCTCCAAGCTTAACTTACGTTTAATGGCATTCTGTGGTTTGATGTCCCTCTAGAATTCTATCTACACATATTCTGACACTTTTCTACAAGTCATTGAAAGGAACATGGTTCATCATCATGTTACAGGCCTTTTTATTATTGTCCTTAACCAGCTTTTAACCTGTTCAATTTCCAAGAGTGATCAAAGTTTAATTTCTCCTTACAAGATTTGATACATTTTCAAGCAGAAGGTGACGAGAACAAAGAAAATCAACCACTACATGTATGGGATACTGGCTTTGATGTTGATACATGTAAAGGTTATTAGAGAACTAACACAGTTAAGAACGTTGCCAGTAAATTGTTGGAAGAAACTTTCAATTGTAAATGATTATATTTACAACAATTTAATTGCAAGTTTTGTTCCAGCCACTCAGTGGTTTTAGACAGTTTACTCAAAACCAAAGTACACATACAGAGGTAAGGGTCTTAGCTTGCCTGATAAATTTACTGCATTCTGTACAGCGTTAAATTTTGGTCTGCCATCTTTACAAATGTAAAGATTGAAAAAGTAACTTCAAATAAAAGGATAGAATTAATATTACAAGTTAGTTCAAGAATAACATCACGCAAAATAATAAAAAATACTACCTAACAGACTTTGGCTTATGTTGGCAGAGTAGCCAACCAGAAATTACAGTGTCACATAATATCCACAGTAAAGCTGTAACTGTAGTGTCACACAACACTCACATTAGAGCTGTATCAACTGTGACACTGCAATGTTTGTCCCACTTGATCTTCCCAACGTTATGGCACAGCCTTATAGATTTTCACTATGTCTTTTCAGTTGAATTCTATAGTTATGTTCTTTTATGATATAGCAATGGGTTGTGATGGAGGTGGTGGTGCTGGTTGAAAAGTCGCAGCGATGTCTTCACTTGCTGACGCGGGAACTGTTGTGGGTATTAACGGGGCTGGGCTTGCCCCTGCAGTAATATCCGTCATCAGTGGTGTCGCTGTTGCGGTTACAGTGACTGCGGAACTTCCAGAAGGTGTTGTTGATGTTTGGGGCGGGCTCATGGAAGCCAAGGGGACCAAGGGTGGGGTCATACCTCCAATCATGGGTGAGCCCTGGACTTGGGGTGTGAATGAAGGAACTGTGGGTGGGGCACCTGCAGGTGCTACAAAGGGAGCAGCTACTGGATATGTGCCAGTTGTAGCAGGGGACGTTGATGGGAAACTGGTACTAAATGGATTCATTGCCGGTGAAGCTGCAGTTGTGTTGAGGTTCAATGTAGTCATCCCTGTCTCTAGACCTGTAAAATGGCCATTTTACCAGTAAAAAAATGATTCAACTTGCCAGCAGTGTTTTAAAAAAAAAAAGCCACTTATAAATCATGCTATTTTATGATTAAGTTTATTTGCTTGTTATGAAGATCCGCCATTACTTCTGAAAAACAGTTCGGACTACAGCTTCAATTTTTGACACTTAGAGTTTTAAGAAATGATGTATGACTGATAATAAGTTGTTATAAAATTATATATGCGTATCTATAATTTAATCCCCCTGAATTCACAATTTACACTGCTTGTCAACCCGTAAACAAATGTACATGTATACATTTCATCGCCATTAATATTATCACCAGCAAGGGATCAGAGCTACTCCTCTTTTGTTGTGGAGAAATGAAGACAGTACAGGGGCTGAGAGTGTGTGTACCAACTTATATTACTGATTCTGATTACGTTATACCTGATGCTTGTATTGGTGATACGGTTGCCGTTGAAACTGCGACAAGAGGCACTGAGGTTGGCCCAATGAGAGGAACCTATGTGAACAAAGAGAAACAAAAAATAATAAATAATTGAAACCTTTCTTTGGCATGGTAAATGAAAGTTCTAAACATTATTATCTAGTATCATACAGTGTAGGTCCACCCTGAGAGAGAGGATTAGATGACAGTTGTAATACTTGTTGAGTACATAAGTACAGTGCTAATCAGTATGGAAATATGGCTTGCTCTGAAAGAAAGCTAGAGATGCAAATAGGCCTATTCCGAGTTACCTTGTGCTTCGGTTTCAAAATGAGTCTTCATGCAAAACATTTTGAATGAAAATGAGTTTGATTTGAATGAAAATGAAGATGTAGACAGAACAAATTTTCATATGAATGGTTTTGCATGAAGACTTGTTTGACACAGAGGCAAAAGCCAACTTGGAAGTGGCCTATTCTTTGCTGTAATTGGCTACCTGAGTAGAATAGATGGGGTTATGTTGCCTGTGTACATGACGAATTACCTGTTGTGTCACAAACAAAATGGGGTCCTTTACACATTTTGGTCCATAAAGAAGCAAAAAAAGAGAGAACTTCATCACTACCCAGCCATCTTGATCTCAAGCTTTGTTGCCTANTGAAAATGAGTTTGATTTGAATGAAAATGAAGATGTAGGCAGAACACATTTTCATATGAATGGTTTTGCATGAAGACTTGTTTGACACAGAGGCAAAAGGCAACTTGGAAGTGGCCTATTCTTTGCTGTAATTGGCTACCTGAGTAGAATAGATGGGGTTATGGTGCCTTTGTACATGAAGAATTACCTGTTGTGTCACAAACAAAATGGGGTCCTTTACACATTTTGGTCCATAAAGAAGCAAAAAAAGAGAGAACTTCATCACTACCCAGCCATCTTGATCTCAAGCTTTGTTGCCTATCAGTAACTTACACTAAATATCTTATTTTCAGTGCGTAGCCATGAAAAAGTCTGGTCTTTATCTGTTCAATGATAGGCCAATGACTGGCACTTCTTATTACACAATGCTGTAAAACACTTAATTAAGTTACTTGTAAGTTATAAGTTAATTAGGTGTTAACTTACTTCAGAGAAGCCATCAGGAGCAGGGGAGGATGAGTTAGATTGGAGAGGCATCTCAGGAGAATCTCTGATAGGTATTCTGTGAAGGTAGCCATATCCTATTCCACAACCGATGCTACAAGAAAACAACAACAACAACAACAACAACAAAAAATAAAGACAACTCAACCACAGTCAATAAAATAAACATGTTAAGGATGAATGAATGATGTCAGTATTTCCTATTGAAAAATGTTCAACGCAGCAGATGCGAGTCTTTAGGATCAAATCCTAAATGAAAGCAAGATGAATACGATTTAAAATCTGCATAATTTAAAATCTACAATTTAAAATCTATGGATGAATGTTCCTGGTTAAAAATAGATGATCAAAAAAGGTAAATGGTGGAATAACTGACCTTTAAGGGCATCAACAAAGTATTATGGAAGCACTGAAGATGTTGTGC